GGCCCCTGTCGCTTACCTGTTTATTCGTTTCGCTTGTTGGTCTAGGCTGGGCTGTAGTTGTGGGTGTTGCTTGGTCTGGCAGTCCGATGTTTCCTCCGCCCTCATTTTCCCCTTCCCCCAACGAGCCTAGTTTAAAGCCCGCCGGAGGAGGTCTGCCAACCTAGAAGAGAACACACGCTTACCTTTATGGGAAAGGTGGAGCACATCCCATCCAAGCATGTCTCTCGTCGTGATGGGCCGGTCATGGCTGAGGAAGCCAAAGCCCGCCTCGAAGCACCATTCCTGTAGCCGCTAGTTGGTCTCCGCGATGCATGTTTCATGCCGTCTAATATGTTCTAGTAGTGTGCACACACCCACTATGAATTACAACTACGTAAGGAAACCTTATTTAAAAAACAATGATGAAGAGAAACACTGGAAAGCATTTGATCCCATATAGAAACAGGAAAACCATCTAAAAGATGCAGTGTTAGTTCCCTGATGACCTAGGGCATGCCTGGACTGTAAGAAAAAAAGGAGCTCCATTCAACCATGCTTTTTTATGACATTTTTTGCTTAAATAAATCAGGAATCTATTTATTTTCAGTAGGAAATTTTATTTAGCTAGCAAGATATATAAAATGTAAATCCTTCTGATCTAATGCAGAGAATTAGCAGAGCCATACAGCTGACATCTACTGTTTACATAACATTGTAAATGGCTTTTTGTGAAAGAAACATTTTAACTTACATCTGGTAAACATTATTAATAATTAGACTGAATGTAGGTTAGAAAGCTTTTGGCATCTAGCTCCCCCCAAAATTCTCTGTTTGCTGCTATAAACTTCTCTGCTAGTCCTATCTGACAGGCAAGACTGCTGCACAAGGACAGCCATTTGTGAATGGGAAGAAGAATCAGACCATCAGCTTGTTTCCTCATTCCCCAAAATGACTTGCAGGGCTCCTCAACAGTCCAGAAATCTGGTGGTGGAAGAGTGGTGGCATTGCCACTCCCCTGCTCCCAAATTTCCAGAACCGGGGGAGTTTCATGAGCCAGACAGCATGACTGTGCACCAGTACGGGGCTGAATCAGAGCAGCAGGTAGTGCAGAGCCACACTGACTCCATGCAGGATCTATCCAACAGACCAGATCTGATAGGCAGGCAGCTGGACTGACCCTGCACCACTGATCCGGCCCATGGGGCCAAAAGGGTGAGCACTGCTGCCCCAAAGGAACAGAGTGCTTTGTAAATGCTACAAATCTTTTAATACCTTGTGGGCTACGTTCAGTATTTGATGATTTCCACAATGTACTCCAGATCTCAAAAGTTTACTTGGTTTCATAGCTGCAGGATCAAATGCAGACCCATGATGGCACAGCCAAGGCAACACAGCTGTAAAGCTCTACCTCACTTCAGGAACTGTCCAAGCTTCTGTATTTCCCCTGATAATTACTGTATGTAGTGTACTGCTTCCTGACATCCAACTGGGGGGGGGCAGTCAGGGGGACTAATGAACCATATAGCCCAATGAAAGCCATGAAGGCTTTGCACATTATCTATGCTAAACCACTGAAGGCTATACTAGCAGTATCTCAGATATTTCAATGTGATAGGTCATTTGGAAAGAAGTAAAAAATTATCAGAAGTGACCTTACAGTGGTTTCATACTGTGATCATGTTATTCTAGTTTAGAATTTGTCCCAATGGAAGACAGCTCTGCTGAAAACTGTGAGGTTTCAGTGGGAATACTGAAAAAAAAAGAGATGTAGGAAAAAATTTCAGCTAGAAAAGAAAAGGTAAGTACATTTTGCCCAGTATTGTCTTAATGCCTCAATCTTTATGCAAGCAAAACTCATGTTGACTTCTCTGAGAATCTCATTTAAACAGCTAGCCTACATATTTCATTTGAGTGACAGAAGTAGCCAGCCCAAGTCAACTTAAAGCCTCTGGCATTTTCTAGAACTGCACAGCAAAAAAAGCATTTCTATATTTTGTGACATTTTGCAATAGATATAGTGTAGCTTCTCACAGAAAGCTAAAAATATGTCTAAGTTTGGCAGTAATACTTTTAACACTACAAGTAGCATTTTGTGTCCTCAGGCTTCTCTACTCTTACTGCAAAAAAGAGAAAGCAATTGCCATTATGCCTGCAAAACTTTGCATATTGCTCTTAGTCAGTGGTGCTCAGCCTTTTAAAGCAGTGGCACATGTGCTTGTGATCCAACTGCATCATAGGCCACCATTCCCCTCCAGCAGGGGAGGGAGGTGGCTGCCTGTATCAGAGGGAGAGGAATGAAAGAGTAAACTACACCTGCCCTAGGGGAGAGGGGAAAGTAAAAGCAAAAGCAGGAAGAGCTGCAGAGATCAGCAGAACAGTGTAGGACAGAGAAGGGCATGTGCCAGGCCAAGCTGCTTGCCATTGATCCCCCATGCTGTAGGCCCGATCCAGTCACTTTGGGGGTTGGATCTGGCCTGCGGGTCATACATAGGTCAAGCACCATTGCTCTGATTTATTCCTCTATAAAATTCAAAAAAGATTAATACATTTTGTGGAAGGCAGAATTCTTTTATATACGTTCCAGTGATGCAAACAAACCTTAAGAAGTTTTACAAAGTAAACATTTTGAAATACTCTAGGGATTCTCTCTCAAAAAGTAGTTTTTTACTGTTAGACATTTAATAATGCAACACCTAAATCACGCTGCATTCACAGTATCACTAAGAACTACTATTTCACACAAGGAGTAAAACATTAAGGCAAAAAATAATTTATGGTAAAATGCTATATAAAACATTGCATATTTATTTCCTATTTCTTCACAATTTTGGCAATATCTTTTTATTTAATGAAACCAGAATCATCTTCTATTTCTTCTTGATGCAGTGGTGTTTTTGAAGGGGTCGAATTCATCCTGTAATTTAAGAAGGTAAATAGTTTTTTTTTTAAATACTAAAAAGTGCTGAATAAAATAAAATTATTATGAGATCAATTTAGAACACTGGTAGGTCATTTTATTTCATCTTTTTTCCAGTAGGTAGGTTTAATTATTTCATTTTCTTAGTTCTTACTCATTACTTTGAATATAAATGCAATTCATGGACAAACTGTAAATACAATGACATTCCAAGTAAGACAGTAAATCAGGCTAGAGTTAACTAGACTGGAATAATTATTCCAAAATCAAATCAGTTTCCAAATGAGCTCAAGGCAGGAGGTACATGTAACTATATTTTTGGGGGATCCCAGAATTAAATTATGGCATACTCTTATTTTCTTGTATACTAATAATCACAATTAATTATGTACTGTGATACTGCAACAGCATCAGCTGCTTAGAAACTAAGATGATGTACCGCAATTTAAACCCTAACATAGACAAGTATTCTGCAAAAAGCACTGAATGGATCTACGTTGTAGTAAATGTACATATGGAAACAAGTCCGTTTCTTTTTGGATGTGGGTTGCCAAGTATTAATTTGCATGGTTATGAACCTCAGTTATGGCTTTTTTTTGGTTCCTAAGAGCTAAAAGAGTTAAACTGAAAAATTAGTTCACTTAATTTTAATACACAACATAGTACTATTAGAAATAGATACAAAAAAAATCCTGACTAAATATTAGCTATTATTCTGACTACATATCTTTAGCCAAGTAATTTGCAAAGCAATAATAAGTTGGAAAAACTGACAAAAAAGCATACTGTACCTCATCCGATTCAAAATCAACTCCCTTACTCATCAGGCTTTGAGAACCTGTTTTGCTGGATGTAGATGTACTTGACACCCTAGATGGTTATAAACAGAAACACATATAAAATCATAACAGAACATGGCACCCATACCAGATGTTCCAGTGAATTTCCCGAGTGACTGGACCAGATCTTATAAAAACATTATTTGTAGTTCCCCCTCTCCTGTTACAATGCACATACTTAATGTAACAAATGAGGTATTAATGAAAGAGTGAAAATCAGCTGCCTGTTAGCTGAAGATTAGGTGGTGCCAGTTTTTCAGAAGAGACCAACTCCCAGCTGGGCCACATACTAACGTGGCAAGATTTTCACCAGTGTTCAGTACCCATCAAATCCCAATAAAAACAACAGGAGCTGGCCTAACAACAACAAAAATATCTGATCTTCTTTGTAGATTCAATCAGCTATAGATAAAAGCGCCATAAAGCCCTGCTGAAGTATGCAATCTATACAGGTATTGGGTGAGCCAGGTCCAACTAACATGATGCGTCTTCTGGGAATGCACTGTGCTTGGCATGGGTGTACCCCAAGCTAAAAGAAAAGCAGTCTTGTTTTGTTTTTTTTCACATCTGTAAGCAGCCTTGAAATCCGTTGTGATAGTTTAAAAAAAAATGAAATTCAAATCTCTCAAACACTATGAAGTCTGTGCATGTCATAGGTCATAACTTTTATTTTTGCTTTTAAATTTAGTGAAATGTGATTAGAAATAAAAATGATAAATTCTAATGATTAAAAAGTGAATTTCAGCTAATGGAGCCCTTTATAGATAGTGACAAAAATGAAGTGCTGTGATCCAATAAATACGCAACATACCAGAATGGTGTACAAAGACCTCCAAAAGTCCTTAAGCCATTATAAAAATAAATGTACCAACCTCTGATTTACTTTAGAAGCAGTAAAAGGAATTTCTTCCACATCTGGGTCATCATCTACAATGTCCTGGAAAAATATAAAACAAATATTTAATATCTACTGCTTTTGGCTAGAACTGTGGCCCAGGGTAGACCCTGGTGAAGTGTGAAGCTCAAGGGACAGAAAGTTTATTGTATTTCTTATTTTAAATTGAACAGTGCGCTTCTTTGGGAAAAGGGGAGGATGAGTACATTTTGGAAACAGCAACAGCTTCCCAGTGAGAGATGCAGGCATGGGCTTGGGAGAGACAAAGTCTCTACGAGTTATGAAGCAGGAGAGTAGGAATTGATAAGGATGGGAGAAAAAAATTAGAAGAAAGTGTTTACCTATTATGGAGGAAATGAACAAGAGTTGGGAAGTGAGATTGTGTTGGGCAGGGCCAGATGCCCTCCTAGGCAAGAGGAAGTAGAGCAGACGAGGGTGGGGTGCGGGAGGGCGTGGACTGTTTTTGACCTCTGGGGTATTAAGAGGTGGTGTTTTGTTATACTAATTTTATATTAATATTTTATTCTGTTTTTATAAGACTCAGTGTGGAATCTCCAACCCTGGAGGTTTTTAAGACCCCACTAGACAAATCCTTGACTGATATAGTTGGGGATGGTCTTGCTATGAGTAGGAAGCTGGACTTCCTGAGATCCCTTCAAGTCCTAATTTTCTATGATTTTGTCTTTTATTGTAAGCTTCTCTGAGCATTTTTTGGGTAGCATATACATCTAATAAACAAATATTTTTGTTTTTGCTTGAAAAGGGCAGATAATTAGAACACTACAAAAAGGCAGCAGTATTGCAACTTTACAAGATAGTTTTTCTCACCTCTGAGTAATTCTTAGCAGATGAATTCCGAGAAGGCTGTTGCCTTGAAGATTTAAAGGCTAAAATAAAGCACATGAAAACATATCACAAGTGTTATCTAAAAAGAGTAGTTCTCAACCATTTTTGTACCAGGGCCCATTTGTAAACACTGATGGCCAGGCCCGAGCTGCTGCCTCCCCTGCCTGCCCAGACCACAACCTCCCCAGTGTGTGGGGCAGAGGGTGTGTATGGGGCAGGGAGCTGTGTGAGAGGCATGGAGGGCACAAAACAACCCCTTGCAGTCTGGAACTCTGCCAGCCTGCAAGGGAAAAGCCATGGTTTCCCATGTTTTTCTCCTTTAAAGGAGAACCCATTGTAAAAGTTTGTTAATCTATTTTTAAAGTCTGTTCGCAACCGTTTCAAATATTCTGGCAACCCACAGGTTGAGAAACAGTGATCTAAAATACCCATAATTTATTACATGATCAGGTCATTTCACACAACATTCCACCTCCAGACTTGCTTTACAGTTTCTTCCTTGACAAATCAAAATTAAGCAGGATTAGGTCTTCTCTGAAGTAAAGTAGCAACCGAGTCTTTGTTGGGGTCAGAAAACTGAAAAGAAACCTGCCATTATCAGAAGCTTCCTATTCTGGTTGAGAAAAGTTTAATTACACTGTTCAAGATAAAGAGGACAAAAAAGTTAGGGAATGTACGAGGGTGTTTCAGAAAGTAACAGCAGTTTTGAAATAAAACCATTTTACGTACAATGGTCATTTACTGGACTATATCACTTCTCCACATAATCATCAGGGATTCTGTTTTTCTGTTTAAAAATCCCCACTTTTCTGATTAAGCCCCCCAAAGTCCACATTTCTCCACGATTAAAATGAAATGCCACTTATATATGTATGTGCACATGTGCATTTTATTTATTTATACACACACAGCTGGGCCCATATCCTGGTGAGCTAAGGGAGCAGGAGCAGCTCTGATTTTGTACAATAAAAACAAAATCAAATGCCAAAATATATAGGTATTTAGAATGTATTTTATTATAATGATTGAGGCACTGGTATGCTTCCAAAGTGCTTTAAAACTGGGACTATATCAATAAACATTGTGTTCAACTGATAGATAAGAGCTACTGAACACAATGTTTCATTTATATAACGTGCCAGAACGTATTTGCAGTGCTCTTATTTTAAGTAATCTAGGCAATTCTTTTCCTGTATTTTATGTTGCATGCTTTCTATACTAAGGCGTTCTGAATCTAATACTTGTAGCACAAGACATCAAAACTGAATTAACCACCGATTTCCCCATCTACCATACTATCCAAGACAACAAATATATTCATAGCAAAAACTACACATCTTCCTGATCAGTGCCCAGACCTTTTGTATCACTGATACTGTGCAGTACTCTCTGACAGAAAATGTTAATCAGATTAGGAAGTGAATCAGCACTGCTATATGAACAACACTATGTTCAAGAACACTCGGACTAAATGCGTATTTGGATGCCCAAATGCACTGAGATGCTCACAGGGTGATTCATTTTCTAAACTCAAAATGAAGTTGTAGATACATCTTTAACAGAAAGTTGTAAACCAAAAACTGGATTTGCAGATATTTTCAACCAGCAATTAATGGGGGTTCCATACATATGAGCTCTATCAAGAGATATTTTAGACCATGTGTTGTTACTGTAGCAAAGTTCTTAATGTCTGTGGAATATATCAAAACTCTCTTACCAAGTCAGCCTAAAGTCAGCACTAAATGATCTTGCTTGCTTCTTTTTGTAGGCAGCATGGGCACCTGATTATTCCTGCAGTGAGTTAGGGAGTCTTAGACAGTTGCGGTGTGGGGGGCCTCTGGAACAGTAGTGGCCAAACTGTGGCAAAGGTGCCACAAATATCACAAACAGTCTGCGTGTGTGGCATGCAGCAGATGAAGGAGGGGCTAGGCAGCAGAGGCAGGTAAGGCAAGAAGCAGAAAATAAAGCAGCAAGTCGAGCAGGGAGAACAGACCCCCCCACCCCCCCCAGAAAGCAGAGCAGCACATTGGGCAGGTGTGACAGGGCCATGCCCGAGCTGCCGACTCACTGAGCTCCAGGTGGTTGGCACAGGACTGGGGCATGGGAAGAACCCTGCCCCAGATGCTGCTGTGACTGGACTGTCACCTGAGATCCCATGCTGGGTGACCAAGGTCAAACAGGAAAGAGAGAGGGCACCTCCAAGGAACTGGGAAGAGGAACAGCTGGAGGAGCCACAGCAAAGTCGCTCTCCAGTACAGTGGAAGCAGCAGGCATGCCTGTGGAACAGACAACTGGTGGGAGAATGGACTATGCTCAGATGCAGCATGGGCTGATCCAGGACTGCACTATACCCTGCCAGATACAAGAAAAGGAAGAGCCCACATGATAGGGGCAACCTGCCAGGAGGCATAGGGAGCTCAACCCGGTGGGTCAGAAGTGGTGCCCAGAGCACCAAACTAAACCCATGCTACAGGAGAGGGGTAGCTCAGTGCACCAAGGTATCACTGCCCTGCCTGACTGACAGGCACAAGCTATTTATGTTATATTATCTGTTTGGCTGTAATTCCCAAGACAGAGTCACAGGCACAGTGTACGCAGATCTGATGCTCATTGGGCATCTAAAGAAAACAGAATCACATTGTCACCCAACTCGTCACTAGAGTTTGGCTAAACACCCAAGCAGAAAGGGGTGGGATATAAAGGGGAAGAGGAGTCCCACAGAAGCTATATCAACATGATCACACCAGGGCTGCCAGAGAACTAGATACCACCTCCTCGCAAGTCAAGGTTCATCTGGAAAAACAACAAAATTGTGGTGGATGAGAAAGCTAGGTGCAATGCGACCAGGTGAGCAGGGCATGCCCACAGCCCAGCAGTGGCTATGTCAGGTGTGGACCTGTCACACAGGGGAAGGGGATCTGAATGGCCCTTGGGGAGGGCAAGGGACTAATTTGTAGCACACCTGCCATAAAGGCTGGCCCCTGTTGCTCTAACAGCCCTCTGGTACCTGGCCAATCTCCCATGACCTCATGAGGATCATTACTAAGGGGTCTGAAAGAACTCTGCCAAATCTTTTAGTACCCTAGGATGAGGTCCATCCTTCCCTGATGACTTGAATTCATTCAGACCCAACAAAAGCTCTCTGACTGTCTCTTGTTAGCTCCTCCCTCAACTTGTCCTCTTCCTTATCCAGATAATCCTCGTTAGGTGTCTGGCTGCAGCTTAATTTTTTTTTTTTTTGTGTGAAGACTGAGGTAATATAGCTGTTGAGCAGATGCATCTTCTTTGCATCTTCTGTTAGGAGTTCCCCCTGACTGGTCAGCAGAGAGCCCAGGGTTAACAGAGGACCCACAGAAATGGACTATGGGGGTTTTTGCCTTCCTCTGCATCAGAGGCATGGTCCTCTTCCTTGGATCTCTCAAACATATTTTAACAAACTACTTCCTGTCCTTGTAGCAGCATTACATTGAGAGTACCTCCAGCCCCTGTAGCAGAGCATGGTGTTTTGGGGATTTGTAACTGGTAGCTGTACAAAAGGGTTGTTCATGAAGTTTCACAAACAGGTTAGACATACACTTGTACAGGACAGTTTGAGAGAGGAATGATACTGCCTTTAGCAGGGAGTTGGATGAAATGACCTTCTACAGTCCCTTTGAGCCCCATTTTTCTATGATTCTATTATAAGGCATCTAAGTGGCTTAGGTGCTGTAGGTGACTAAATGTCATTCTATCCCAATCAATTAATTTTGTAATACTCTCATTTCATCCTCATGACTGACAAAAAAGGAGCAAGTGTCTCAAGTTGCAGCAAGAGAAGTTTACATTGGATATTAGGAAAAATTTTCTCACTAGGAAGACAGTAAAACACTGGAACAGGTTACTCAGAGAGGTGGTGGAAGCTCCATCCTTTGAGCTTATTAAGACCCAGATAGACAAAGCCCTGGCTGGGATGATCTTGTAGGGGATGGTCCTACTTTGAACAGGGGGTTAGACTAAATGACCTCTGGAGGTCCCTTCAAACCCTAATTTTCTATGATTCTATGACAGTAACAAAAAAACCCAATGAGGACCACCCACCCACTGGAGTCAATAAGTCCACTTACGCACTTGCTGCTTTTTTCAAATTGGGGTAGAACAGTGACACTTTGGTGCTTAAGATGACTTACACACTCAAGAGTTGGAACAGAATCTGGTCCTCATCATTTCCATAATAAATCCTGGTGATCTGAGCTCAACCATATTAAAAACCCTGGCCCTGGTTATTTCTAATACTACCTCTACTTTGCTAACTCATTGGCAATAAATAATAGAGATTTTACAGTGTCTTTTATCAACAAAGTGCCTACAGAACAACCACCTATCAAATCAAGTTAAACTAAAAACATGATCCTTCTGAGTTTGCTAAGGAGTGCTAGAAAGGAACAGAGTGGCAGATAGGGGTATTCTGCTCTTCATGCCCTTGAGGGGGCATGAGGACATAATGGATATGGAAGTTACTGTGGATATTTCCAGTTAAAAATATTCTGAATCCCTATGCAAGGGTGCATGTACACCAAGAGTAGAAACCATGGGTACAAGACTTGAAGGAGGAATTAGAAGTTTCTCACGTTTGACATGCCAGGGATCCTGGTTTTCTCCAATTAAAAAAAAAAATAAAACCCAAAACCCCCAATTTTCAGTTTAAAACAAGAAATATAAAATCCACATTTTTCAATGATTAAAATGAAAATCTTAATCATGGGAAAAATGTGGATTTTGGGTTACTTTTTTAAATTGAAAATTGGGGATTTTTTTTTTAAATCAGAGAAAACCAAGATCCCTGGACATAACCAATTTGTCAAACCTATCATTATTTTTTATCCAGCACCATCCCATCCACCATATTCACAAGAAATTTAGACTTAAAAAAAAAGATTCTGTGCTAAGATTTTACCGTTAACTTTGTCTGGTCAAAAGAAAGACCATTTCATATATACTTGTGAGGCTCTTTAAAAATAATTTCCACATAAACTTCCAAAGACTGAGAAAAATGCTAAAATGTCCGAGTAGAGGATAATAATAAAGCAAAGTTTAAAACTTGTGATGTGAGAGCCCATGGAAAGTCTCTGTAAGAATGTGAGGTCCTGTGTGGGAGTAATGGCTCTCCCCTCAAAACCAGTTGGAGGACTGGGTCCGTGCAATGCAATATTGAAGACTGTACCAATTCAAAAGAGAGTTTTATGAATGCAATGTCAAACCCATATGCTGCTGTCTTGTTTCAATTAAAAATGGAAAAATCCAGTCCACTTCTGAGAGCTACTCCAACAATGACCTAGCCTCTTATCACTGTCAGCAGAGATGCAGAAGACCCATATATTAAAACAGAGAAAGCATTTAAATACTAAAATTATATAAATATAAAATGAAAATAAAATAAGCCACTTTTCACATATAATACTGAAATTCTCTCATATTAAAGTTCTTTAGAAGAGTGAATTTTGAAAACTAAAATGAGCCACTTCTGTGAATGAAGGCAGAAAAAGCCACTCAGAAGATCTAGTATTAATGCTGCTGTTCCACATAACATACTTCCAGAATACTTACAAAAAATGAGAACAGGAAGTGAGGAGTAGATGAAAACTAAAACTGATAGCAATGTATTTACTGTATTCAATATAATTATAAAATGTAGCCATTAGATAACAAGGTTCATGTTTTAAGCACAAAAACAATCTTAAAATATTTTTTAAAGTTACAAAGTAATTAGATTTGTAAAAATTAATGATACAGTTTGTAACTTTAAACAGCTGTGGAAAGCTACAATATTGAAGACTGCTAGCACAGTGTACTTATCTCAGTGAAATCTAAAGAAACAGATTTTGGTTTAAAATTGTAATTGAGAAAAAAAATGTGCTTTTCAAGGGCAGCAAGCCTCATTTGACCTACACTGGGTAAACCTGAATACTGTTTTCTTTACGAGAATTGCTCTAGATTTATCCTCATCTAACAATTGCATTTTCACCATTGCACCTGCCATATGACCACAAGTATTGTTATAAAGCTTGGCTTATTTGCACTCATTAGTGCTTAGTGACATTTTCATCCATTAGATTCTACATGTTTCCTACAAGATCATATCTGGAAGACTTCAGAAGGCATGAGCATCTGTTCAGCTTGCCCTTTAAAGTGTTTCAAAGACTCACATGCTTGAAATGTCATGCCTGTCTATACCCTAAGAAATTTATTTCATTTGGTTAAATGGAGTTGAAAGACGTTAGTGGAAACCCTCAGCTTTCATTTGAACCCCATTCACACTTTATTATTCCACTTCATGACAGCCAAAAGAATCTCCCTGCAATGGCTGAATTCTGACTACTGGAAAGGAAAGGAAACAAGATACTGCATCATAAAAGCAGTTAACTTCATTATGGCTTTTTGCAAGTAGGTAACAATGGGGGAGGCTGAAAAACGCTGATGCCGTGCTGATTTTGAACGTACCATCAAAGATAGACATATTCTTGGTAGGCGTAGCAATAGGCTTGTAAGTTCTACTGCTACTGGATGACTCCTGGCTAGTATTTCCTGTAGAGAAAGTAATCAATATTCAGTTTTGTTCACAGGTCTACCACACCCACAATAATTACATGTTCTAAAGAGGTGGCCTTGCCCATGCTGGAACAGGTGTCTGATGTACCCGGAGGCTGGCGGGTATGGGCAGCTTCAGCACAGCAAGGGCCATCTGGGTGTCTGTGGGGAGGGCTGAGCACATGCCTATTTCCTACTGCTCTAGGTGGGGCTGCAGCAGGTCCTGGAAGGTGGCCTAGGTCATGCAGAAACCATGGCTCGTCATCCAAGTGTGCTGGACGATGCACAGCCAAAAAAGTACCAGGCCCAGAGGCAGCGGAGCTAGAGACCCAGGAGGGTGTCAGCAGCCCCTGCAGTGGTATCATGGAGCCCTTTGTTGGTGTCCCTGCTGGCGACAGTGGCAGCAGTAACCAGGCAAGCGATCACTGTGCATAGGGGAGCCGGGTGAGGCAAGACAGCTGTGGGTCAGGCAAATTAACACAGCAGGCTAGCAGGGCCAGCAGGAGTGCTAGCTGTCACTGCCAGGGGCAGGGAATGAAGCAGCTATAGGGCAGGGCAGCATAGTAGCCAAGGAAAGAGCTGCTGTACACTGTCCCTGTGCTTGGCACACTGCTCTTGGGCAAGGAAAGGGCTGGCCAGAGAGCGGGGCTGGCTTTTGAAGATGGTTACTGGGTGCTGGCAGCTGCAGCTGGAGCCTAGAGCTCCCCCCATGGTGATGCCAGGGGCCTAGTGCAGGGCTGCAAGAAACTGGGTGCTAATCTGCTCCCTAATCGGTGCATGTGTAGACCCCAGCCCAAAAGGGTTTACACCAGATTAGTTTACACCACTTTAAATTTAGGCCAAAGTAAATGCATGTGTAGACATGCTCAGTGTCTTCCAACCTGTGGTTCCCTAACCACTTTATTTTTTAAAATACTCATCCTCCTTTCAAATCACAGAATCTGATCCTGCTATCATATCCGCTAACACAGGCTCCCCAAGGCATCCATACTGAGCCTGGTGAAAACAGACTTGCATCAAGCAAATCCATTTGTACAACTGGGGCCTTATTGCAGCTTTTAACAACAGGGAAGGAATGATACTTTTTAAAGTGCATAATCAGACACAGCCAAGCTACACATCATTTTAGGGCAACATTGAAAAGACCTGCAACAGAAACCTCTAATACTTACAAGACAAAAAACATAACTACTAACCTCTTCCTCTTCGAGACACTCCTCTTGTGGCTGCATTTTGTCCTCTTGTACCTCTTGCTCGAGCCCTTCCTCGCCCTCTTCCTCTGCTGGTTGTTGCAGAGATGGAGAAGCCATCATCCGAATCATCACTACCTTTTTGTTCCATTGTTCTCATGTCCATAAGTTCATCATCACTAGAGAAAGTGGTGTGAACAGTTTCCTGAGATCGGTGGGCTCTAGCTCTGGTCATTGCCTGAAGTGAATGATAAATATAGGATATTTAATTTTAGTAAGGAAGTACACCAGGGTTGATTAGTAATGACATGGTCATACCATCCCAGTTTTGGGACCAATAATAACAACTAAAGGGCATCAAGTTGTGGTGTAAATCAGTTTAGAAAACAGAAATCTTCCTCCTAGTCATGCCACAGTCACATTTAGTATACAAAGTCAGGATTGCTTATGAAACACTTTTCTTCTTTTCAAAGTCTACAAAACTATTTTTTATAATAGTCTGTTTCACAGTTTATTATTAGGTGACCGCACCACACAATAGTTTGAAATGTTTTCTCTCTGTCATAATATAGTTATTTTTCTACTTTCAAGTGTGTGCAGCAAATAGTTAAGCCTCAAAGGCAAATAAGTTGAGTGACTAAGCTGTCCTTCAATGTAATAAATGTAGTAATCAAAAAAATAAAACAGGAATGAGAGAACAACATTTGGGGGGAAAGGAAATGTAGAGAAAGAAAAAAATATGAACTATAATCTGGAAGAAAGATGAGTGGGTTGAATTTTAAAATTTGCATTTTCAATTTTAACAAAAGTCAGGGTCCAGTCCTCCTTAAACTGGAATAAGTAGTAAGTCCTCAGATACCATTATGCTTACTGTGTTACGGAAGTGAAAAAACTGACCCATAAGTAGATTTGACCCTCCTAGTATTTGTAAAAAAGCACTCTTTTGCTGAGAAGTGTACAGGATTTCCAGTAATCTGTTTGTATAGCTGTCCTCTGCCCAAGTCAACTTTATTCCCCTTTTTAATTTAGGCAGGACCTTAAATCACAGATGCAACTACATGAAAGAGTAATAGAAATAACTATTACTGGACTTAGGAACTAGCATGCCATATATACTAAAAATGAGAATTATGGGGTAGCCACAACTCCTGACTTGATTATATTTCTAGTATAATAACATACTTATGTTCCAATAGAAAATAATAGTCCCATATTCCTATGCAAAGTACTCGATATACCCTAGGTTTGCAATTCAGGGTAATTACCTCCCGGACTTCTTCATCCTCTTCTTCAGTATTCTTTTTTCTGGTCTCCCTAAATTTTCGCACCTGTATCATAGAAAACAAGTTTAAAAAAAAACAGTTTTTCCTGTTCATCATCATCCAAAATAGGGATCAGCACCCGATGGTCCATGAAGCCGTGTGGATTTGATAGCATTTGGTAACAGAAGGCCCTGACCACATTGCAATGAGACTAGACAGCAGGGCTTTGGCAGGAGGGAGTTCTGCCTGACACAGCCAGGTAGCAGGGAGAAGCAGTTCTAGTGCCAGCCCACCTCAGACCCAAGATGGCTTATTCTGGCCTGCCACTGGAAATGTTGCCGACCCCCAATTTAAAATGAAGTGAGCAAGTAAAAGAGCCTTTGCTTTAAAAGGTACGATAAACTACACTTTCAGAAAGTAATCCACACAATCTTTTGGTTTATACGGGCAGTCCTTGGACTTACAACACAATTGGTTCCTGAAAACCTCATCTTAAGTCAAAATGTTGTAACTCAGAACCAATTTTCCCATAGGAAACAATGTTATAAATTGGAGATTGGTTCCTGAACCAAGGTCTAATATGCTATTTTCACCAAAAATAACCCAGAATGTTGCACTCGATCAATTATAGATGAGTAATATAGCTACATTAAGGTATTTATATTGTAAATAGCAATCATATTGATTTGGAAGGACTTCTTTGAGGTGCCTTTGATGGACTTTTTGAAGGGCTCTTGGTTGCACTTTTGGAAGTGTTTTTGGCTGGAGTTCTCAGGAATCTTGGCTGTAGGTTCTTCTGGAGTCTTGTCTGCTTTCTTAAAAAAAAGTGTCCAGGGAAATTTGGACAGATGCTTTTCAGGGAGATGGGCAATGCAGTGAACTTGTTCACTGGCGTGGTGTCAGATCAAGCGCTGTAAAGTCGAAACTGACATCAGAAAGTTGAAACAGTGTCAATTTATAAACATTGTAAGTGCAAAATGTTGTAACTCGAAACATTGCAAGTCAAGGACTGCCTGTACTGGACGCGTTTTGAACAGAATTGAAAGACATCATTTTGCCAAGAAGGCTACTCTGATCATAAGGAGCAACATTTTTTTTACAAATATGAAACGGAAATTTTTTTACCTATCTTGGTAATAAAGTTGAACCTGAAAACCCAAGATGTTTTAAAAGTTTTCTTCTATAATCAAAGTGAAGAAAGTTTAATAATGTAGTTTATTTTGATCTAGTCCACCCCAGGTTAAAATAAATCTGTGAAACAATCCACAGCTGCATGAGGGGCAGAAGCAACACTATTACTGATGAGTGTAACAGAGAGATAAATGGATCAATGTCAGAATGGCACAATGTTTCAAGAAGGATTCCACAGGGGTCTGTTTTGGGTTCCATACTAGTTAATTTTGTTTTATTAGTGATTTGGATGCAGGAGGAGAGAGCTTGCTGATCTTGTTTGCAGGAAAAACAACACTGGCTTGCAAACACTTTGGATGATGGGATTAGAATTCTAAAGGAACTTAGTAGTAAATTGAAGAATTGGACACCAGACAACAGAATGAAATTCAAAGACAGATGATAAGAGGTGTTATACCTAGGGAAGAAAAGCCAAACGCAAATACAGGACAGGAGATAATTGGCTACACAGTAGCATGGCTGAGAAGAATATGAGGATTTGGTGGATCACAGACTCAACTTGAGGGAGAAAAAATTGGCCATCAAAAAATTAGTAAATACAGTATAATCTTTGTTATCCAGCATCCCCAGGGTAAGGGGATTGTTGGTTACGTAAAAATTCCATTATCTGAAATAACCTGGCAGCATTTTTCAGATAATGCGGAGTTGGGGGAGGATAGTGGCTGCACTCGGAGCAGCCAGTGCAGGGTGGTATGCAGCAGCAGTGGAGTGCAAGCCCCCCCCTCCCCACGTCCAGCCAGCTGGCTAAAAATTCTGGTTAACAGAGTCTCTGGTCACTTAAACACCGGATAACAAAGATTTTACTGTATAATCTTGGGCTGTATTAACAGTACAGAATATGCAGATGGTAATAATACCACTCTACTCAGCACTAGTTAGGCCTCAGATGAAGTATTGTATGGAGCTCTGAATTCTGCAGTGCAAGAATGTGGAAAAAGTAGAGAATCCAAAAGGTGAGCTGCAGAGATGATAAAGGGGTTGAAATGCAAGCTGTACAAGGAAAAGTTGAGAGGACTAAATATATTTACTTTGATGCAAATATGATTGTGGGTGGGACGAGAACATGACAGGCTGAAAATCAAGAAAAATGTGAGACTAACTGCTGAGGGCAGGACACAAAGCAATGGGATTAAACTGCAGCAAAACAGATTTAGGTTAAATCTCCGGAAAATAATTTCCTACTGTTAGAACAGTAGGACAGTGAAACAAGGTGAAACAAGGTGCGCAGGAAAGTTGTGGAATCCCCTTCACTGACAGCTTTCAGGGTAAGTATCTGTCTGGTATAGTACAACCTATATGTGTGCACAGTGGATTGGACTAGATGAACAATTTAGTTCAATTTCTTCATCAGCGATCTGGATGATGGGGTGGAAAGTAACCTGTTTAAATTCGCTGATGACACCAAAATCTGGGGGGAGGTGAGCACGCTAGCAGGGAGGGAGAGATTGCAGAGGGATCTGGATAGGTTACAGGGGTGGGCTAACAGGAACAGGATGCGTTTTAACACGGACAAGTGCAGGGTGCTGCACTTGGGCAGTAGGAACCAGCAGCACACTTACACAATGGGGAACTCCTTACTCGAGAGCACGGAGGCAGAAAGGGATCTTGGAGTCATTATTGACTCCAAGATGAACATGGGCCGACAATGCGAGGTCATGGTTGGCAGGGCTAACCGGACCTTGTCGTGCATCCACAGGTGCATCTCGAGTAGAGCCAAGGAGGTGATCCTCCCCCTCTACGCGACGCTGGTCAGGCCACAGCTGGAGTATTGTGTCCAGTTCTGTGCGCCCCATTTCAAGAGGGATGTGGACAATATGGAGAGGGTCCAGAGGAGGGCCACCCGCATGATCCGGGGACAACAGGGCAGACCCTACAGTGAGAGACTGCGGGACCTGAACCTATTCAGCCTCCACAAGAGAAGGCTGAGGGGGGACCTGGTGACCGTCTATAGACTCACTAGGGGGGACCAGAAGGGTTTGGGGGAGACGCTGTTTCCCCTAGCGCCCGCTGGCATAACAAGGAGTAATGGGCACAAGTTGATGGAGAGGAGGTATAGATTGGACATCCGCAAAAACTACTTCACGGTTAGGGCGGCTAGGAGCTGGAACCAACTTCCAAGGGAAGTGGTGCTGGCCCCTACCCTGGGGGTCTTTAAGAAGAGGCTGGATGCCTACCTGGCTGGACTCGTTTGAGTCCTGTTTCTCTTTTTGGGGTTTTTTGTTGTTCTCCTGCCCTGGCGGGGGGTCGGGCTAGAAGATCTACTAGGTCCCTTCCGACCCTTAATCTATGAATCTATGAACAACTCCACTCTAGTCTATGCCTTGGTTGTTCCTAAGCATGGAAGTAGTTATTCATTACTAACCTCCTCATCTATTTTTTCTTCCTCTGCATCAGTACGACGTTCCTTAAGAAACCTCTGTGTTTTCTCTAACTGAAATTTCACCAATTCTTCTATAGCATCTTTCTCTTCTTTGTCCACAAACTCTTGTACTGCTTCTCCCATTCCTCTTTCAGTCAAAAGTGAAAGTTGCAGTTTCTTTCAGGAAGTAAAAAGAAAAAAAATGCATGGGTGAAATGTACAGCATCTTTCCCTCTCACACACCTGAAAGAGCAAAAACTATTATGTGGCCAAATTATTCCTCAGAAGAGCAATATGCCAAAATAAATATTTTAAATGCAAAGAATGAAGGTTAACATCTCATGTATTTGTTCTTGGTCAGAAAATTACAGATACCCAAAATGACAGTGCTAATCCCAGTGTATGTCTCTAGGAACCAAGAAGCAGCAAAATTGTTTACATTTAAATTTTTGTACCTGTGACAGTCTTCATCAAACTTCAAGAAAGCCATGTTAGTCTAAAGTCAGGCGGGAGTAAATAAGTCACAGCATTGGATAAAGTAGGCTGTTGTCTACATGTTTATGGCTCTTTGAATAAGTTAGTTTCTATGGTACTGACACTAAAAACTAAAACATTCCTACACTGCACTCACCATCTTATGGGCAAAACTTACATGCATATTTACTACAAAGGAGTACTTTCAACATCCAAAATTAGACCTACGAAAATCATCCAATAACAATAACAAAAGTGTCAGCATTTCAGCTCTCACAAGTTTCTTATTCAATGTGCTTGTATTCTAGATTTGAAAAGAGTTGCTTTACTATAACTAGGAAAATTATTTTTCTTTCAGTTATGATACAGTTATACATTAGCTTCAGGGTACCCAGTTAATTTAGTTTAATATATGTACATTACAAACACATGAAGTAGATACTGCTATACAAACTCATTTTAGGTGCCTCAGGCTTAGAAAAAGAGAAAATAGTAGAAGACTACCTTCAGTGAACTCTATTAGATTCTATAAAACATTTTCTCCTCACAGACATATAGCCTTTTAAGCACACTCAGTTTATTGAATAGATTCTTCCTAGACTCGGACGATAAAATTGCAAAAGAGGAAAACCAAATGGTCATTTTTAAAAAAATCTCTTTGGTGAAATTATGTTATTTCCATCATTAAATGCATGTTAAACCCTATTGCAGTGATGATTTAATTTCTTAGCATAATGCAATATTTACATACTCCCATATTAAAAAGCAAGCAGATACATTTATGGGTTATGGGCAAAGGATATGCATGAATCACTAAAGGAACAATGTTTTCAGCATATCAAAAACTTAAGATTTCACAGATGAAACACACAACTTAAAAAACAAAGAAACTGAGATACCTTCTCTGCTGTCTGGAAGTACTGCTTTACAAGATCCTCCACTCTCAAGGTTGTGCCTTCAGGGGCAGGTCTGCTAAGAAGCTTCCCAAAATTAATCTCATTTTCTAGAAAAGAGAAATATTAAAACAAGCATCCATCTCATCACCTTCACCCAATATCAAATTAGCTGATAATGACATCACTTTTATCAAATGTTGACCGTGTCTGATAAAGTGAGCTCTGTGATTAAGTGAGTATATAAAGGTGCATCTCTAACAAGCTTTCTGGAACACTTCATGCCAGACACATTAGGAAAAGGTCTTACCATAGCTACTCCCTGGACATTCAGATATATTACTAAGCTGTATATCCGTGTTATAAAATAATGCAACATTCCTTTAGCAAGCAATCCCAGGCTATTCTTCAAACACTTTTCCTACTCCACGTTATCCATTTTATTGCACTCTAGTAGCAGCCAGCTGTCCTTCAGGCAAGCCTCAACACTAGACAAAGCTCTTGAAGGAGAAGGCCTCCCAACAACCCTCAGCATCAGCTGACATGCTGCTCTTCCACAGAGAATGCTAGAAAACTCTACCAACAGCAGACTCAGTACCTGTAGCATCGTCCAAACAGATCTTGGTTATAAATGTAAAGTCTCTGACCTCATGCTGTATTTAAGTATAGACTGAATTAGCCATATTAGTCACTTAAGTGCTGAAAGAAAGAAGTGTTATGCAAAGAAGTCCAAGACACACAAGTGGGACATCATGCTGTCTTTTTTTATATGTTGTTCATCCTTCACAGGCAAAGACAACTGCATCCAGCGGGGGGCAGGGAAGAAGAGAGAAAAGAAGTGGGAAAGAAGCAGGGAGGGAGAAAAGAGAAAAAAAGAGAAAAAGTAGAAAAAGGAGAAAAGAGAGGAAAGAGAAAGAAGGCAGGTGGAGGCTAGGTCACGTGAGTATGTAGGCGATTTATAAACCCAATCTTTCCCTTGAACAATCTGCTGCAGCAGGAGCATGAAAGTGATGAGGACTCAGTATGAGAGGTTTTCATTTTCCTGGCCATGCGTTTCCTCATTGCTTCCACCATGTGTTGCTGTTTGAAGGCCAGTGCTCTGCTCTGGATTGATGACCTCCAGGATGGATAGTCATAAGTGATTTGCAACTATGACTTTGGGTTGATGCCAAAACTCTTTAGGGACACCTTTAGGGTGTCCTTGTACCACTTCTTTGGTGCACTGTGAGAGTGTACTCCATTTGACAGTTCACTGTAGAAGATTTTCTTCGGCAGGCGAGTGTTGGGCATTCTTGAAAGATGGCCAGCCCATCTTGGCTGCACCAGTTTCAGTAGCATGTGAATACCCCTACTTTCATATAGCCCTACTTTGAAAGCGAACATATCAAGCAAGCAAGTAAACCCCAAATGATCGAAGCTATAGTAGTGATTTTGTAATCTAAAAGTACCAATAAGTTAAATGTTTATAAATGCACAATGTAATCAGTTAAAAATAACTGAGAAAACAGCAATCTGATTTTAAATTAGGTAACAGGCTCTTTAAGTGTGGCTACTAAATCATAAAAATCACATGTTTTCACAAGTTCATGCAAATAACATTACAAGCAAACCTGCAAACAGGTTAAAAGTATTGGTAAAACACTTATGTACTATATTAGTGGCCTTTTAAATCAGTACAGCTTGCTCTTACGCAAATTGAATCTTCATTAGTGATTGTTACAGATTTATTATTAAGCAAAATTTGTTAACAGCTATTAACTAAATAAATACTACAAATTCTAGGCACAATGAAAACGCTACTATGTCATTTAACTACTGTTTAACATGTAATGGCTTTAAACAGGAGACATCTGGCATAAGATATTCTTGTACTAGATCAAGGCACTTCCATATCTAGACTTCTGTTCCTACAAAATCTAAAAACAAGGTATGCCACCTGCATAAGCCTGGTATTTTAGGAAACTTTTAAAATGATCAGTTCTAAAGAGATGCCAAAGGAAATTTCACAATTCCTTCACTCCACCTTTCAGACAAACATGTCCTAAAAATGAGCGTAGACCAGAGATGGCAGATTTGCTTAAATACTAAAGACTGTAAGTGCAAAAAGAAAAAACCCTGGTCATGCCCAGTTCACTCTCCCTTTCAGCTTCCACCCTTTGCCATTGTGGGTCCATCTACACATGTAGGTAAAGGTACAATGGGATCTAATGCATGATCCACACAATCATGCCTCCTCCTGTGTCACTTGCATGGCAGAAGGCACAACTATGGGATTGTGCATTAGATCCCATTGCACCTTATTGCCCATGCAGGGGACAGTCCCTGCATCACAATACCAGGCTGCCCCTGCAATGGCTCCTCCAGCTGTGAGTCCCACAGCTGACAAGGCTCAGCTGGGCTCGCAGCTGAGGCAGCATTACCTGCACTGCCCCTACTGCAGGGCTCACTGGCTGCAGAGCTTGCAGCAGGAAGAACGCTACCACAACTGCAAGCATCGTGAAGTGCAGAGCTCACAACAGGGAGAATGCTGGCACCACTGAGAGCCCCACCACTGAGACTCAATACTGCAAACCCCATAGCTGACAATACTGCCCCCACTGCAAGCCCCAGAGCCGACAGAGCTCACAGGGAGGGGCAGCATCCTTCCTGCAGCTGAGAACACTGCCACCACTGTGAGCCTTGTCAGTTGTGAGGCTGGCACTGGGTGTGCATCTTTGTGGTTGGGAGCCCCTCAGTTGGTGCAGAGCACTCTACAGGGGAGCATTTGGCCACACATTCAATTAATGGCATGATCAGAACAAGCTAAAAAGTTATTACACATTTTTTGTGAAATAATTTTGTATCTTATTGCTTGTTTTATCATACCGTTAATTGGTTGAACAAGTAGCTGGGTCACAATTTAAGGCATAGTTACCCAGTTAAAAGGGGGCCTGTGTGATACAGGATACTGGGCAAGATGGACTCACAGTCTGACCCAGTAAATGGCAGTTCCTATGTTCTTAAATCCCCAGTCAGGGAGGACACTTGCAAGGCCAGATCTTTGACACCTGTGATACAGGGACTTCACAAGGTCATCTAATCCAGCCCCTGTTCAATCATCCCTGACTTAACCATCCCAGCCAAATGTTTGTCTAACCTACTTTTGAAAGTTTCCAAGGATGGAGATTCCACAGCTTCTCTATGTAGCTTGTTCCATTGCTTGACCACCCTCAGTCAGAAAGTTCTTGCTACTCTCTAACCTAAATTGTCCCTGCTGCAACTTTAGGCTGTTGCTCCTAGTCTTGGCCCTTACAGCCACAGGAAAAAGCTTATCTCCGTCCCCTCCGTAATTGTTCTCCAGGTACCTGAAGACTTATCAAATTCCCTTCTCCTCAGTCTTCTCTTCACTAGTAATGAAAGAAAGAGGGAAGGGGATTTGAGGGGGGAGGGGGCACAAAAATAGCAGCAACTGTGCTGCCAGCCTGGCTGTTGCACCACCAGCAGCACAGCCACTGATGATGTCCTATGCGCCACTTCTACCAAGAGCACTCGAGCATCCAGTTATGCCTCTGTGTTTCACAAATCTTTTTAAGCAAATGCGCGCACCTAAAAAAAGGAAAGAGCCCTCATATTTCTCATGAAGCATGGGTTCAAAGGAGGTTAGGTAGCAGACATTTTCTAAGTCCACTAGAGCTCAGTAGTTGTGAAATGAGGTGGAAACCTTTGCAAAATGGTAAAAAGGTTAACATGCATTTATCATCATTCTGGGGAAAAGAAAAAACAAAAATCAAACCTTTCACACAACAGTATTCACATTCTCTACAGATGCTGACAAACCATTACCTTTTAAAATTTTGATATTCAACTGCTATGCAAAGCAACACAGTAGACATGCAGTGCAGAAGAGTCCTTTTAATACCAAGACTTTTAAAGAAACAAAAAACCACCCATAAACCCAAATCTTTCTGCAATATTCTAAAGATCAGTTGGGAGACCTTGCACATTTGTTAACTGCTTGCCAACATTTTATAAATACTGTTATGAAGATAAAATATAAAGTAACAAGGAAAATTAGCTCACAGCATTTTGTTTTCTATTTACCATTTTTCTCTTTTTGCTCACGATGTCTGAAAAAATGAATGATGTCTTTTGGGTTAGCTACCCTATCCATGAATTGCTGGCTGAAACGATGAACATTAAATGGTTCAAAACCTCCTGTGTAGTCAACCTTAAAATAAAAGGGGGGGGATGGGAAGAGAAAGAATGCATTAAGGTATGAAATCTGAAGACAGCAGTGTGAAAACTAAGGAATTAATGTATGCCAAGATACATATATTTCCTTTCAAAAAATAATTAAAAACAAGAATAAGCTAGTCTGTTGTTAAATGCTGTGCATGTGCAACACACCTCATCATAGTACCCCATGTCTTGCTGCAAAGGTAGCTTGCTCATCTCTGGAGAGAGCAGCATCTTTCAGTAATCCATAAAGTTCTGAAATCCATAAACCGTACTGAAAGAAATTCCATCCAGTCATTTTCTACTACAAGAAGTCCAGTCTGAATGCAGGATTTAATTTTTAAATTACATATGAGCAAATAGCAACGCCCACCTTTTTTTTTTAAAAACAAAGTTTCAAAATACACAACAAAGTAACTGGAGTTTTAGAATAAAACAACTGAGCCTTACTCGTAATCTTATGAGGGGCTTTTCTGGCTGACGTGGACTTCCTAGACACTCCATTTCTGACTTGTGCAGCATTGCATCAACCTAAAAAAGCACAAATTGAAAGGTCTTACTATAAAATTAGTCTTTAATTTCAATTATTTGCTCTTGTTGTAGCTACCCAGAGGTTTTAAGGTACTGTTTAAAACTAACCCAGTTAGAAAAAATACGGCCATTTAAATAGAGAGTCAAACTCTTCCCTCTGATGTGCATAAAGACAGGGCAAAATCTGGCCAAAAATGCATGTAAACTGAAAAGCTCCTCTCTCACATAAGATTGATCACAACACCAGCACTAAAATGAGCTAGGGTATGTGTATGTTTTAACTTCTTATATGGTTCAGTATGCTTATCAGATAATCATAATACTTCATGACTTACTACTCTAAGCACAGCCAATGAAGCCCTATATAGAGGCAGAGAGCAGTAGTGGAGAACTTTATTCTGTCATCTGGTGTGCAAGCAGCAGACAGAAAGAGAAGCAAGACGCCCCCCCGGGTCAAGTGAACTGATATCATAAAAGGAAATTACCTTTTCCATACAAAATGCTTGTATTGTTTGGGTTACTTTAGGATCATCTGGGTTAAAAATGTCTGGATGATCAGCAAGGACAATATCTTCCATATAGAAACATCGTACTGTCTCAAGAGGAATCTTCTGCATGTTCATTCTCTTTCCTTTAATGTGCAGCAAACCAATATGCCTATAATGAAATGAATAAGTTAGTATAAAAGGGACACAGAAGAGTCACAGAATCCATAATTTTCTAAATGACTTCATTTTAGAAAATTAATCAACCTCACTGAATATCATTCAGCAGTCACAATGTTCTCAAAACTCTACCCAAGACACTACCCTCACTAAGTTTGAATTCACATGGCCAGATTGTGTTTAGCTCTTCCACAAGAATGCAAAACTGCACATGCTGGAGTGATGTGAGCGGTGTTCTGCATAACACAGTTTGGGAATATGGTAAACTCAAGCACTGCTCTTGACTCATTCCATATCACACCCAGGAAACACAGCTGCAAATGGTTAGTCAGCCAATCAGGCTGAGTCAAAGTTAGGGATGTGAAAAGTTAAACGATTAATCAATTAATCAATAAGTCCAGTGAGCAGGGTGGAGTGTGGCACAGCCTGGCAGAGAAGGGGAGGAAGAAAAGCTATGCAGTGCCCCAGCATGAACAGGAAAGCAGAAGGCAACAGATGGAGGAAAGGAGGAGGGGAAGGGAAGGAGTGAGAGGGATTAGTACCTATAGCCTGAGGTTAAAGAGGAAAACAGTGAAGGGCCTAAAGCATCAATTAAGCAGTTAGCTTCTCCTTCACAGGTGCTCCTTGCCTCCCAGCAGGGGATTCATGTGTTGTCTGGCTGGGCTTGCTACCACCTCTTTCCCATTCTGTCAAAGGGCTGAGAGATTTTTTAACAATATTTACATCCCTAGTCAAAGTTGGATGGACATAATGCTAGCCACATGACTCCTTTGTTTGCTGGTGGATACAGAACCAAGCAGTTTTTAACCATATTAGCCCTATGGACAGTTAGACTCCAGGAAGCCTTTTGCTGACTTTTCCAGCACGCACGAAAAATAGCAAAGAGAAAAAAATTAAACAGAAAAATCAACACATACTTTTTCACAGCTTCCCCTGGTGATAGAGAAGTAACTACTGAACTTCCTGGCTGTGATACATAGAAAAGTTGCTGTTCATTTCTGGTGGGTGCTATTTTACACTCATGTTCATGACCCCAAATAACAAGGTCAATAAAATCATCTAAAAACTGTTCTGGAATGTAATTGGTGGCTCCATGTTTACTCCTGTTCAAAAGAAAAAGAAATAATTAAAACAAGCATAGTTTTTAAAGGAAAAAAAAGTTGTGCATATGAATTTAAAGATACTTCAGTTAATGTTTATATTGCATTTTACAATATTTATTCCCTCCATAGATATGATATATTCATCAAATGTTGTGACAAATACTGCTTTTATTGTTTTTTTTAAAAGTTATTTTTCTGTGTTTACAAGAAAGTAGTTGGAAAAAACCCACAAAATTAATGACCTTGGAAATATAATCTCTCCCCTAAAACTTTTAGTAAAATGCATTCCCTTTTTCTGTTCCTCCTCCTGGGTATTTGGACTTTTTCTGTTTCAATTGCTTTATCTGTTTCTCATTCTTCTTTCATGCGGACTTTTCAATCTTTCATAAATTTCATTTTGCTTTTAAACTTCTTTGAAATTCCTCTACTTCCCCCACTTTAAGGGAATTCCCCCCTAAACCCCAATTACTAAAAGGCACTGACAAGTAAGTAGCCCAATTCAGCAAAAATGTTTTTACTAAAGGTGCCTCAAAAATTGTGCTTTCTGTGCAATATTCATAGACTTCTGCCTCCTTATTTCCCTAGCAAAACACTGCAGGCAGGAACAGCACAGGCAGGTCCAATTCCCTGCAGTAGATAGGTTTTTATAACAAAACATGCAAAGGAAAGCATGGGAACTTCTAAACTCACCTTCACAGTCAAATAAGTTGAGAAACTGGAACATTAAATCAGCAGCTGAGTTATTCCACCTTCAATATACAACCTTATATCTAGACTTGTGTGTATTACCCATGCATACTAGGGGTGTGCAAAATGGGCTGTGTTCAATTCAGATTCAGTCCCAATCAGAGACAGTGATTTGATTCGTTGATTCGGATCACTGTCCTGATTCGATCTGGCCGAATCCGAATCTGAAGAGTCTATGCCAATTTGAAGAATCAACAATTTGGTCATGTTTTTTCTACATACCTCGAGGTACCAGGCGTGGCTCGTGAATGCTGCAATGGTGGGGCAGACAGAGCATCCCACAGGAGCACAGGGACCCCCCACATGCTCAGCCGTGGAACCTCCCTCCCTCCCTCCCCCGCTTGGCAATCAGCCAAGGGAGGGACCCCAGGTGCCCTCCCACCACCTCAGCATTGATGAGCCACCTAGTACCCATAGGTATGTAAAAAACATTTCAAGCTCTGTCTATGTCCGAATCATCGAATTTCTTCGAATCGATTCAGAGGGTTTGGATTCAATTCAGAGAGAATAATGGCTCTCCCAATTTGATTCGGATTTGGAGATTTGGCCGCTGAATCAAATCAGCAACAGAAGCTTCTCACAGCCCTAATGCATATTAAAATAAGACAAAACAGAAATTCAACAGCTGTTTTTATGGCAGGCAATTTTACTCCAACCGTAAAAAGCTACTAATAGGGTTGTGCTCTTTTCACTGTTTTAATTAAGTGACTGACTTCTCACTTATGTTTTTGCTCCTTTACACCTTTCTATCCAACTAGTTTAGCTGCAGAAATCACCACAACATTAAGCAAGTTTTGCTTCTCCCTATACTGTCACTTCCTTGCATAGTATTCCTGAATAGCTTTTTTAATGTTTTGTTGCATTGACTGTATATTAACATACCAAAATCAAACTCCAGTCAATTGGATTACCTGTTTTGATGAATCACGAACAAATTAAACCAGCTATCTTCATCTTCTTTTGGCCTCAGCATAGTTACTTGCTTACTAACAAACATACGATACAACCTCTCATCTGGAATAGCCCCTGGAATGGATGGAGCAAAATGTTAATCTGTTCCCCGGTATACCGAGGGCGGTATCCACAAAGGTATATAGGTGTGTAACTTATCATTGAGACCAATGGTAAATTATCAGTGTCAACAGGGTTTAGATCCTTTAACTACTTTAGGAAAATTAACATTATTGGCAATCAGCGCTTTTTGGCCAGTGTAGCTCAATGTCACTGATAAATGTTGCGTGCATGTGCGCAGGTGCAGCACGCACACGGACAGGAATGTAACCAGGCAGCTTGGAGAGCAGCATCCTGCCAGTAAGTCTATGGGGAGATGCAAATTGAGACCCCCACAATGAGGAAGGGAGTGAAGCAGGGACAAGGGCAGAGGCAGGTGCTGCCCATCAAGGGAAACCCTGGGGCCAGACAACCCTGGGGCTGGGAGCAGGACAGAGCTATGAGCGGCTCCCCCAGAGAAGGCATGGGTGGCATATGCCCCTCCCCCAGATTTGTGCACGGGGCAAGTGTAGGCTGCGTGCTGCAGGCTCAGAGCCAAAGGCTGTGCTGGGGCTGTGCTCAGGGCAGGCGACGGTGCTGAAAGGGGTGGCTAAAGGGAATTTTCAGGTGGCTATAGCTCACCCTGCAGCCACCCCTCCCAGCACTGCTACTGTCTGCCCCAAGCACAGCACCAAATCAGCCCCCCCTGCTGGGAAAATGCTTGTGCAACCTCTGGCTCCAAGCGTACAGTGAGCAGTCTGCCCTTACCCCATGCACAAGTCCAAGGAGAGCACATGCCCCTCTTGCCTCCCCCAGGAATGCATGCAGTGGCAGGGAGCCACTCCACTCCCCAGACAAGCCGCCTGTAGCTCCGTCCCACTCCCAGCCCAACTCGCATTCACCACCCTGACTGGGCAGCGCCTGCCCCTACCCCACTCCCTCCCTCACCACTGGAGACCTTGATCTGCATTCCCATGGCCCTTCCCCCTCCCCCCCCCCCCCCCCCTTCCGGCCCAGAGTGTGCTCCCCTCTTT